ACTCTATGGGATTTATTACCCCAAGGAGTTAGCTAAGATTTTCCTCAAGTGGCGACACTATCGCCCTCTTTGGTTCGGGCGTGAGGTCCCGAATATGGGGCGAAGGGACCCCCTCGCTCGTGCGCCGGATTTCACGGAGTTTTGGCTGAAAGGCTAGAGGAATGCTTGGATTGAAGGGGCATGGCCGAGGCCTTCTGATAGCGGCCCTGCCGACGCCGCAAACGTCTCTGACCCCGAGGGTCTGCGGGGGGGACCCACTTGGATAGGAGGTGTTGTTTACCCTCCTAGGTAGAATGCGGTCTCGACCGTGCTTTCCTCCAATAAGAACAAAGGAATCCCTAGTTTACGGCACCGGTAAATTTAGTGGGGTGCTTTCTCGGTGCTCCTGGCCATCTCGTGCAACTTGCGCCCTTTTTTTTTTCGGGGGGGGGCCCCGCTTTCCTTATGCATGGTGGCAGAAAGGTGGGTGGTTCGGGTGTTAATCATATGATGGTGGGCAAGGTGAGTATCTCGAGTGACACTCTATGATTACTGTGTAGGGAAGGAAGGGTAAGAAGAAAAGGCGTTACCTAAATCTTACGTTAGACCAGATATGAAGGGAGACTTTTCATGCCAGGAGGGATCTTACGTTACCTGTGCTTTTGTACCCGTACTTGTACCATCTACCTCATCTCCTTTCTCACGTCCTCGTGGATTTCGACACGAAAACACCAATCGACACATTTCGTCACAGTCACGGATATAATAATACCGGTAAATAGGGGATAAAAAAACATTCTACTCGAGCAGTTGGAGTTACCTGGCCGGCGTGGTCATGATGTGATGGTGATGGATTACCCACGGGTATGATACGAGGATCTACTGAGTACACATCACAGCACAGAGGACCAATCCGTTTCAACCCCATCTAGTTCTACACGGGAAACAAAAAAAGCGACACAGAGGTGAACGGCGAGATAAGTTTAGGGAGAAGAAAAGAAAAGAAAAGAAAGGTGATAAACTGCAGTGTAACGAATTTTCATAACCGGTACGGTACCGTGCAGAACAAGCGCAAAGTCAGTAGCAACGAGCGGACCACTTCCTGCCCAGAACTTGTCCAACCACCCGATCCAAACAACCCTGAAACAGATTTTCTAGAAAGCAACAAAAAAGTTGAGGAAGAAAAAGAAAAGATGAAAAAAAGTAAAAACGATATCGTAAGTTGATTTAATTCCCATAAATAAATTAATGGAGAAGAAGAAGAAACCACTCAATCGGAAAAATGTGATCCTTGGCACGCTTCTTCCCTTTCATTTTTTTCTCCCTCCCCCGCTTCCTTTTCGCCCGAGCGGATTGATAGCGTATCGTACCAAGTTAATATGGAGAAGGCTGTGTGGTTCGAGGTTTTGAATTTTTCTTTCTTTGCGGCAAAAGAATAATAACGGTAACTTTATGAAACTACCGACGAATGCCCTACTCTTTAATATATTATTATCTGTATAGAAAGAGAAAAGAAAAAAACTTTGTTGTGATGGCTTCATGATTTTCTTCTTCTTTCAGCCCTCTTCTTCCTTGTTGGACAAGGTGGGTGTGGTTGGAAACTACCACTTTTTCTGTTATATCCACGCTTCTTACAGATATGTATAGTACAGTACAGTACATGATGATGCCTTAGGGTAATTATGATTTTGATAGCCTTGTTCAAATGTGTGTTCCTACCCGTAGACTACTGCGCAGTTCAATCTTCCACGACAGCTCTCAGCGCGGTATTATATTGCACAGTTGCCTTGCCTCCCAAGATGGGTTCCTACAGAATACCGGTAGGTATTATGATACCGTAAGAGAATAAGTTACAGGGGTCTGGGATAAAATAGTGGTGCTTTGTTACGAGTACAGATACTCGTGCATCCGAGAGAGACGTGATCTTAGTCAATGCCAAAGAAGAGGAATAAACTGCTGGATGAGAACATTCATTAAATTTTGTTCAAATCAAAAAAGCTCTTTTACATACGCTGCCCTCAACAACCCCTGTTCTTCCTCCTCCTCGTGCCACTTTCTCCAAGCCGGGCCCCCCCTCCTGCACATGGATGTCTACATGTTTGCACTCGTAAGTTACCGTAATACTTGCAACCGGTTATCATGTCGTGGTATGATAGGGTAACGGTAGTACGCAACGCATACCGAGGAAGGATTAATGTTTCACAGACAACATAAACCTGAGAGTTATTCCCTCCATTCTCTTCTCCCCCCCTCCAGTTACCGCCATTGGCCCGTGGGGGCAGAAGACAAGGACCCGTTGCTGCACCTTGTGCAAGCCGGGAAGTAAGGAGGTTTTGTTACCTGTCGAAAACAAAGAAAACTGAAGGTAAGGGTACCGTACCACGGTGTGTTGTGGAGGAGTACCGTTAGGTTAGGTTTGATTCGATTTCAAGGCGACTTCCATGAAGCATTAGGGCGGCGGATGGTGATGAGGACTTATTCACGATTAAGACCCTCACTTACGGTACTGTTGTCCGTCTTGGTCGGTTGGCGAATTCTTTCTCATGGACGTGTTCAGTTATTTTTGATTGGTGACAGTAGTATTATCATCCCCTCACCGGGTGAGACATGCAGATTTCGCACCTTCCGAAGATAATATGCGTCCGCTGGAGGATAATGATTAGTCAGCAGCATACAAGCTCGGCGTGGAGTAATTGGATGGATACAAGTGTCAATCTCGGGGAGATGTTTTTTTTTCGCACAGGGAATGGCGTGGATAGTTGACCAGCAAAATAAACCCCGTTTCGCACGAAAACATCTCCCCTACTGTAGTAACATGCTCGTGCATCGTGATAGTTCTCCTAAAGAGGTATTCCACTTTCCTTTAATGGAATGTCCGGCATCTGCATGTCTCATCAGTCCATGGGGATAATAAAGAAGGGGAAGGGCTTTGTTTTTTTTTGCCCTTTTTTATCCCCCTCACTTGTCAAGTACGACGAGTCGTGTGCCATGCATGAGCCGCACTCTATGCAGTCTTACCAATTCGACCATAAAGTGACAAGGAATGTACTCGAGTATGGTAAGATTGGCAGAAAGAAGGAAGGGTGGAAGTGAAAGGAAAGGAAAGGGTGCGGCCTCATGCAATGCATGACCTATGCTACGCGTGAAGCAACAACTCTAAGGGTCATGGTAGTGGTACCGGTATGGTAGACCGTAGGGTGGAAATGCACGAGTTGCTGCATGGAACCGTAAGCTGTTCACCACACTTGGCGAAAGCTGGGGGGGCAGTGCGTCGTTGGTTTTCTTGGTTACCGAACAATGGTGATCATGGAAAAGCATTGGTATCAGGATGGCTCCTAGGGCAACCAGAAGGATTGCTTTTTTTCTTTTTCTTTCCTCCTTCCACTACCGTACGGCCCTTCTCTCTTCCACCAACCTCACACCTTTGAAATGCCCGGTAGGCGATGGGGCGTTCCCGCACCAGTGCCCGAGCACTGTACGTACTCGAGTAGAGAGGAGGGGATCTAGCATTGCCTACCTGCTTTACCTGCGTTCGGTCTTGGGTTTATTTGGCGGCCCAGCAGGGAGACAGCAGATAATGCCGGGAATGCCAGCGTTCACTTCCTAGCTTCTCCTTTGTCGTCGTCGTCAGAGCTATCGGTAGCTAGCTAGCTACTGTAGCTACTGTAGCTATAGCTACGGAGCTTGTAATACCGGTATTCGAGTGCTCCACTCGGGGGGTCATCAAAAACCGGAAACTAGCAAGATCCTTGTTCCGGTGGCCGGGGTCCGAAACTGTAACCAACTTGGAAACTGGAGGTTTTTGGAGACAGTAGCAACTGGGAGTAGCTGGTACTGTAGCTATTAGGTGCCGGTTATGGTGTCCCAAGAACAACATGGCAATAACAAATAGAAAGTGTAAAATCGGAACCAAAAATAGCCCAATTTTATACAAGCTCATTAAGATAACGGAAATTCCCTCTAAACTCCCTGGATTCTCACTTGTTCATTGGGTGCAACTTCAAAGCAGCTGGTCTGGGTTTTTGACTTCTGTAACAGTGTATCTCCTTCCGCACAACATGATCGTCCGATCAAATAACCCATAGATCGCCACCCAACTGCTCGAGCTGTTTCCGATTTTTAGGGACCCCCCTCCCCCGAGCGTACTAGCTGGTGGTATACGGCTGTATGAGTAGGTATGATAGTGACTATGATGACCTGGGGCTCCTGGCGAGTGGTGGTGGTCAAGTTGTATTTCGAAAACTCTCCCTCCCTCCCGTCGCCTTCTGCCTCAAACCCTGCATTTTCCAATAAGCAAAAACTTCTACCCATATTAATACCCATGCATCGCGAACGTGCAAACCAACCAGCTCGTGTGCTCTTTAATGGGATTGGTTAATTACCATTCCGTTTGAGGTGAGTTTTTGGTTTTTTTTCTGGCTCGCTCGACCAATCAGGGCCTGCATTTCCTTATCTGCTGGTCAGGTCGTAAAGGGTAAATTCTCTTTGTCACGGAAAGAAAATGGCCCGGAAGGGAGGTATTGGTGTAGGTAAAAAGAACACTAAAAGGCACGCTTTCGTCACACCAAAACTATTACTTCGATGGTTTCCCGAGGAGATGCTCGGTCTGTTTTCTTTTTGTACGAATACAGTACTTTTCTTCTCGCTGTTGTTTCTCCTTATGATGGCACCGAGCCGATCAGCCGGTTTCGCGATGTTTCGATCCGTGGGAAGACTGGGCCACGACCTGGTTTCCAAGTCCATCGTGGTCCAGAAGGGGGCCAAAAAGCAAGAAATACTACACCCGTACATGAGGAACACGAGATATAGGGCGATAGGGTGGAGGGGAGAGAACGGAAAACCCGCTCCCCAGTAACTTAACGAAACGGTCCGGAGCTGAAGACAGGAATGCGGAGACCGCCAGAACCCTCGGGAAGAAAAGGGAAAAAAAAGTAAAAAGTGAAAGAACCACCGATAAGACGTGTGTATAAAGGGGAGAAAAATTCTCCCATCGTAGTTGATCCGTTCTACAGTTGTCTAGAAGCCAATTGATCGCGTGTTGGGTTGCCTGATCTCGCCTTTTACAATACTCGGGGTTTTGGTGTTGAGAGAGCGAAAGAAATAGATAACGGTGACGATCAATAATTGGCAGTGACACCACTTCCGTTGGTGCATTAGGTCGAGAAAACATATGCAACCGGGAACGCCCGAAGCGATATCAACCACAATCTACTCGTACGCTACTGCCATCCACCACCAGTCACAAGAGTCTTCCCCACAAAATTGATTCCCGAAGAGCCTATCCTCACAAGCCAACAGCTGGAGGAAATAAATAATAGCCATCCATCATCCCGAAATATCGCGACACACCACCCCTCGTCATCACCCGGGCCATTCGCCATCCTCCTGCTCCTCAGCACTTTGATAAGAACCACTTCTCCTCTCTCTCCCCCCGTCGAGCCGCTCGTTCGCAAAGGCATAGTACCGGTACATAATCCATATCCCCTACTAGGCCGCGAACAAAACACTAATCAGGGCCCCGAAAAGAAAGCAAAACATCACAATGAGCGCATCTCAAGCCCTCCGTGCCTCAACCGCCGGACGCACCCCCCTTATCCAGTTTCTGGGGAAGCGCTCAATCCCTGGTACGTGTGGCACAAAGGGTTTCCGTGCGGGGCATGCCCGCATGGTGCTTGCAGCTGGGGGGGAGATGCTAACATGAAAATTTCCCTACAGAATCCATCGATCACACTCCGCGTCCTCACCCCGCGGCAACCAAGGCGCTACCAAACTCGTTCGCCGAATACCGCAAGAAGGCACAACAGCACGGGCCCCTGGGCGGTTACAAGGCAGCGACGGCAACCAGCATTTCGCCCGGCAAGGGTCAGGTTTTCGACAGGAGCGAACTGCCCCCACGATTCTGGCGCCTGACGTTGAGCAAGGAGGAAATGGAGGTCATCGAGAGCGGCGGGGCCGCGATGGCATAATCAATTAATATGCCCCTTTCTTATTCCCTGATACGACGACACAACAAACATTCATAATTTACCTCGGTTTCTTTTTTTTCCTTTCTTTTTTTTTTTCCTTTTCCTTGTTCACCGGAAGAGCGAGAGGCGATTGTATGATATCACAATGGGCGTGGGCTGGTGGATGAATCGAGCGAGTATGTGGGTAGTGGGGTACAATAGGGGTCAGGGTCACGGTACACGTACAACACGGTAGCATGAACGGGCAAATCTGGTTGCAGGACGGGGTGGGTGGATGGAGTGACCGACCGGATATGGTGGCACTGTGGGATGCTGGGAACCTATGAATGGTCTAGGGTCCGAAGTTACACCAAAACCCTATCCTCTACTTTATTACGGTATTCACTTTCCGTCACCTTTCCTTCACATTCGGTATCATGCGGTGGTTTCCTATCATCCTGTTTTCTTCTTCACATTTTCCTTTTTTCCTTACATCGGAATGTGGATTATATTTTTTTTCTTTCCCGGGAGGGGGACCGGAACTGTTGCGTCTTTTTTTCTCTGTGTCTCGGGCTTGCTGGCGGGTTACTTTTTTTTTTTTCCGGGCTCACCTGTAGGCCTTTTTACAATTGTATATATATCAAAAAACAAAAGTTTGGGAATGGCTTTGTAAATTCTATCATTTGCACCTGCACCTGCACCGCAGAGAAGGAGATACTCGAGTAAAGGGGATGCAATACCGGTATGATAACAATCAGGAAAGACAAAGAAAAGCTTATCACACCCACACCAATCTATCCAACACGGTGAAGGCACATGTGAAGGGAGAAGCGGAAAATGGCTGCTGGTCCGTGCGTTGAGTCGCATTTCTCTCATGACGCGTGGGGAATCCAGTTTGGCAGGGAAGGCAAAGCAAAGCAAGCACAGTGCCGGCACCCTAACCGCCGTCGACTTTCGCGCCCAACATCGATCATCGCAACAACAACAACATACTCGAGCAGTAGTCTATAGTCTACACCTGCACATCATAGCAACACACCGGAGAAATCTAAAGAAGAAAAAAAATTCGTCGGGAATGGCCCCTAAGACTTCCGGAATCGAATTCTACGAGCGCGACGAGTCAGGGAGGATCACCGCAACCGCCACGTATGTACCCGGTGGGGGTGGAGATGGGGTTGAAGTCATCGTGAGTTTTCGGCTTATCTGTTTTCTCTCCCCTCCCCCCCCCCCAGTCGTGGCGCCCTCGCGACGAGGAAGACGAAGGTTACAACAACGGCGGAGTAATATCATGAATAGGGGTTAACGCATCTCCGGCATGATTGTCTGTTAGGTTCCGGAGAGGAGTCGTGGTAGTCGTGCTCGTGGTGTTGATTATTTGTTGGATCTTGTCAACGTGTTCCTTCCGGCGGGCTATCCCGCGAGTGTGTCGGAGGATTATATTGGGTAAGTCATAGGGAAGAAGAATATCGTATTTCATTTCATTTTGTTTTCTTATGATTTCCTGTTTTACGATTTTGCTTTTTCGGAATCATCCCTTCGTGGCCCCCCTGCCCTGCTCCTCGTAAGGCGGGGGCTCTACGGTATTCCTTCTCGAAGCTTTGTTCACGGCTGTTTTTTTGTTCAGTTGGCGGTGAAAGTGTGGCTTTATTGGGCTGGCTGGTTGGTCTGTGTGTAAGGCGTGCTTGCCCACCAGTATGTCTTGCGTATCCCGCGGTACCATTGGCGCTGCTGATGCTGCCACTGGAATGAGCCCCCTTCCTCCGGTCCCCATCTTACGCCGCGGTTCAATTATATCGCCGTTGTGCAGGGAATGAGTAACAGTGATTTGAGAGCTTCCATTCTTTTCCCCTCCCTCCTTTGAGTGATGGATGAGTGAGTGAGAGCATGTGTGTGAGGGAAACAAATAGCTAACTTAACATTGTTCCTCTTGCTTCTAATTCGGGATAGATACCAGATATATGTGAGACATTTGTTATGAAGAAATTTGAACCTCCATTATCATATAACGGCAAGGCTAAAACATGTATTGTCAGGATTCTTTGCAGGCCTTCTCCTCATCTATCGCTGGCCTATTGAGTTCGAGAGCTGTCCTTGAGGGTGAATGACCAAAATGGCCCCTCCCTCCCTTACCACCCCTCCTTAATTAATACGGGAGGGCGTTACGCATCGTTTCTAACACTTGGTCTGTGACGGATATACAATTAGGATTCGGCGTCGGGTAGCTACACCACATTCGCCATTCCAGCCAGTCAGCCAGCTATTGTAGATGATCCGGTCGTGCTAACTAAAAGTTTTAGGGATGCGAATGCTTCCGCTACTGGTGCTTTGCTGCTGACGATTGCTCAGGGTGAGTTTGGTATCATGTTTGCTTTTCCGCAAGGAGGGCTGTTTATCGTCGTCACCACCATCACCAACATCTGATGCATAGCCTGTTAGACTGCGTAAGTCGGTTGGCGACGATATTATTCGCCCACCGATTTGGCCCGGCGTTGGAGGCGGAAACCAAACGCTACCGCCTGGCAGCGGATGTGTTCAACGATTCAGCCATGATCTTGGACTGCCTTTCGCCAGCGTTCCCAAGATCTGTCCGGATCTTAATGCTGTGTTGTTCAGGGTCCCTGAGGGCAGCCTGCGGAGTGGCTGGTGGGGGCTCAAAGGCGAGCTTAAGTGTGCACTTTGCTCGTAGTGGGAACGTGGGGGAGTTGAATGCCAAGGTAGGGAGGGCTTCGACCCTCTGTTCTTACACCCCGAAATTGAGCAGGCGGATGCGGGTGGAATATTTTGGTATGGGGTAGGATTTGCTGATCTTGTGAAACGTCAAGGATTCGAGTCAAGAAACGGTGATTGGTTTGATGGGAATGCTGGTAAGGGTTTCTTTCTTCTTTCGCTGTTAAGGTGCCTTTTATCAAATCACTGCCCATCATTTACTTCCTGTTCTTCTCCGCTCCGCTAGCTTGTAGATGATCCGGCTCTTTTTCCCAGTTAATCGCAGTGGGGGCGGTCCGAGTAACTGGTCACGTCACCTACCGACTGCACCTATGATACTAGTTATACCGTGAGGAGCCGCAAAGCCATTTTGCCTAAATTTTTTTTTTTCACTCTTCTTTGCCACTTTGAAGGTCTTGGCTGTGGGACTTTTTACATCTCGACTCATGAGGCTGCGTTAAAGTTTGATTGGAATGCTTTGTTATGCTTCGATTTGACGGGTCTGACTGTGATTCCTTGTTCCTGGAATCTCCGGTGTAGGCAGGCAGCTTTGTCGTATCGCATATTTCCTCCACGTGGGCAACATGGATATCCTTGACGCTTCTCCAGGCGGTTCACCTAGGCACCAATTTTAAGGCTGTGACTGCCGTAGCGCTTCGTACACTGAACCGCCAGAGGGCCAACATCGTTTGTTCGGCCTTCTTCGATACCGGAGAAATATTGACGCCCCGGCAGGCTGCGCGACACGAGCGAATTTTCGAGAAGGATGGGGTTTTGAGATGGGGTGGATCTGGGGTTCTTGGAAACGCCGAAATCGGCGTCAAGTTGACGGCGCTGATCCGCTCGCTTCGTCAATCTCCGGAGCGCAAGAAGGAGGGGGAGGGGGAGGGCGTCAGCCCCGTCGAACTCGCGAGCGTATTCCAGAACGAGAAATACCTACTGTGGTACGATGTTCAGAGACGCTTGGTCACGATATGTCTCAAGGAGAAGGTTAGCCCCGAGGAACAGCTCAAATCATGGGTGCACGCCCTTGTCCTGGCTAGGGAGATACGCCACCACTGGCCCAAGGAAGGGGCCGACAATTCAAACAGGCCATCTCAGCAGGCGTTACTGGATACTGTCAGGAGATCATTGGACGATATAGGCATGTCCTTCACGCCTATGCTAGGGAGGTTGAAGGGAGCTGGGTGGGACCTGGATGCGGCAGTGTTGGAGACGGTGCCCGGCTATCGGGTTAGTATACGCCCTGTAGAGATCACAGGCGCAGGGAAAGACAGGGATGACGCGATTGCGAAAGGGGGAGAAGCAAAGAAAGATCTTTGAGAGTGGAAAAGCAAAAAAGAAAACAGAAGGAAAAGGGGGATGATTTGGGTTGTGTGAGGGGCATGAGTCGGGTGGAATTGTAAATTTACAGTATCATACTCGTACTCGAGTAGACTACGGTAGATTGGCACAGTATTGTACGAGTAGACTACCGGTGTCAGGCAATTTTTTCTGTAGGGTGTAGGGGAATGTCGGATGGGGCAATCGTCACTTTGGTTTTGCCTCCATGTAAATTGTACGGTACCAAACTGCAGTGCCGGTAGACTGTAGTAAACACTGCGGTCGAGAACCGGGAAACTTACCGTGAGCCGAGAGGCAAACCAAAAGCGACGGTTGCCCTATCGTGGCGGTCGCCATCGAAGGCTCTACTGTATTTAGACTATGGCATGCTTACTCGGATTCTGTGACCCGGGGGATTTCGGGGGAAAGGGCGGTGTTTACAATTCGGGCTTTTTTTTTTTTTTTTTTTTCCTCTGTTGGTTTCGGGACGATCGCGTGGTTTACTCGCTTGGTGCGGAAATTTTCGTGTAGCCACAACGTGCCGTGGCTTGAAATTCGGGGTGGAGAAAAAAGAGGAAAAAAACGTGCGAACTCGATGTGGATGGAATTCTCGATGTTTACTTTCTTTCTTTCTTTCTTTCTTTTTTCCCCCTTGAAGCGTTTTTTCTCTCGGGAGTGATTTCATCCTTTCATCCTTATCTACCTTCCTCACGAGATCTGGCGTGATGCGGTGGCGGTGGACCGGTCGAGCCCTTGTGAATCGGAGCCGTTCGCTATTCCTTGGATGTAGGCGAGTCCCTGCCAAGTCCTTTTCAACTCACAAAGGTAAAATAATAATTTACTCGTACTGTACTCGTACTGGTAAAGAGAGAAGAAGAAAAAAGGAGGCAAAAAAAGATCGGCGGCTTCTGGAAGGCCTCGAAGAATCATGGAAAAGTTGCGTAATCCGTAGCATCACTAACGTCGATTGGCAGTTTAATGCGAAAACAGCAGTTGCCACGCCAATTCTCAGGAGGGAGGGTGGAAACGCGATGCTATTGGTTGCAAATAAAAATAAAATAAAAACTGGTGGGGGGGATGATTGCCTTGATCTTCCTCCCCTCCCCCCCTCCTTCCCCTGGCCAAATAATTCCGGAAACAGTGTTGACGTCGTTGGCGTTTGAGTGGTTGAAAATGCTCCTTCTCCTTCTCTCTGGAAGAAAGAGGGAAAAAAAAAAAGAATGTCTTGGTGCTTCGATTTGTTACCCCACTCGGTTCACACGCCTGGAACTAACCTTTCCGCGGTTGGCTAATTCCTGGGCGCAGAGTTTAGGCTTTTTTTTTCTTCCTTCCTTGCGACCTTCTCGCGTCTTCCTCTGCCCTATCCTATCACATCACATCACATCACATCACGTCGCCAAGGGAAAAGGTAATTTATTCCTTTCTTGACAGGGATTAAGTATCATAAATCCAAACCCCCCCTCCCCTTACCACACGCGAGACCTTAAGATTAGAGAATACCATACCGGTACGAGTAACAACACCGAATGGGTAACTAAGTAATCACAGGAATTTTTTTATTGAGAAGGAGAAAAGAGAGAAAAGAAAAAGAAAACATTCTGTGCTCGAGTATTTTGTTTCCTTTCCCCTCGTACTGTAGAGGGGTCCACTACCGGTAGCTTAAGCTGTGCGACACATTCATTGTAGTCTAACCTTCCGGATACTTTACGATACTTTGTATGGTATGGCCACTTTGGGTGATACGAGGCTATCATACAAGTACAACTTTTTTCTCTTGTCCTGCGGCTGGGGTTCGTAATACGGTACTGTACGATACGAGTACCAGCCGGCTATGCCTTTCTTGCCCATGCTCACGAGGCATTCGCCCTTCCTTGGCCGGCGTTGTCTGGGCTTCAATTGGTCCATTGAAACCTGGAAGCTAAGTGCTGATTTGGTGCGGATAACCTTAGCCTTCCAACAAAAACCAGGACAGCCGTAGCTTTCAGTTCTAGTGGGTGAGATAAAGTAAGTACCGGTAAACAAAGATATCCTGTCCCTGTTCTTGGTTGTCCGTGTTGTTGTGTTCGGGTCATGGAGCGAATGCCCAAGCTGCTTGGAGAAGGGGGGGTGTGCCGGGTGGGTCTGGTCTAAACGACCCATGGGTTGTTGTTGTTCGTGGCAAGTATTGTACGAGTACAGTACTTGTTTCGGACAACTAAGACCCTGTTAACCCCCCCTCCCCCAAATTTACTTACGGACCCTCGACATATCCTAGCAGTCAACGTTGGACCAATTCCCGTCATTTCATAAACGTGTATCATAGAAGGGTTTTTTACCGGTTATCCCACGTATGCCAGAAGGGGATGATGAGCAAAAAAAAAAAAACGACTTCATGCAGGACAACAGCTTTCAGTCCGGAATGGGTTTAAACTCAATCAATCTGGAAATATCTACACCCCGTTTGTTCGGGAGTGCTTATCCCTCTTTCTAGAAGTGGACACTTTCTCTCCCCCATTTCCCAGCGCACTTCACAGCAGGAACCCTTTCTCTTCTTCGCACCACAATCATCAACATGTGTTACAGGTTATTTGATGCTTGTCGATAGGTTTCCCATAACACACACACACCCATCATTGGTTAGCGGTTAGACAACTACGGAACGGCGCTTGTGCTCCAAAGGGGAATAATCCCCCCTTCTTTCGTACTTGTACTTGTAATGTCCAACGGCCAGCCCCCCCCCGTCAGCGCAGCACAAGCAACCAAGCAAAGTAAAAATGCTCGCGACAACAGAAAAATGGACAGAAGGATGGACAGCCTTCTCCAACAACCCCCCCCTCTATTGGGAAGCATGGCTAGTCCAGGTTCTAGACAGTAATCGACTCACTGCAAGAGAGGGCAGCAGCGAAAAAGCGGTTGAATTTTTCTTTTCTTTTCTGCCTTCACCGTGATAATTTCTGTTACTGTAGTCTTTCTGTTCACGCGTTTGCACACGATCCAAGCCGTATCCGTCCATACACTTGCAAGCGGAGCTAGAGAAGAATGGAATGAAGTTACTGCATCCATGCCATGCATGCCATATCCGTCCTCCACCACCCCCCTTCACTATCACTTCTGTTTTCCGGATCACCGTCCATACACGGTCGTGCAGCATTTCTCAACTAGAATTCAATACTCGAGTACACGTCCGTCTGTAACACCCCTCTCACTTTATTTGAGAGAATACTGAGTAGAGAGAAGGGGAGTAAGAAAGGTACAGTAGGCCATTCGTCTGTGTCTGTACCATTTCTGCTGTGTACCGGTATCTGTACTGTACTCGTACATTCACACAACCCTTCTCACTCCCGATCTTTGTCGGCCAGTCATCATAAGCATCACCCCCCATCACCTATTTCCACCCTCACCCAGAGAGCCCTCTCTACCCACGGAAGGAAGCCCACCCACACGCTACGGTAAATTTTTTTGCATCCGTACCCTTTCTCGCTACGAGTGCTACAAAGTTACAATCATCCTACAACCCACCCATCACTCTCCTGACTGTCCCTACGAGTACATTTCTCAGACCCAACCGCCCGTCGCAAAAGTTGCCACCGTCGGAGAATCTAGATAGGGCAGCTTGAGCCCCTCCTGCTACCCGAGTTCCTTTTTTCCTTATTTTTATTTACCTTCCTGCCTCCCCGTAACTGTTACTTGTATGTAGGGAATAATCTGGTACTGTAGAGCCCATTGTTCGACTTTCCCATCAGTTGTGTCCCACCCACCCTATTCTCACACACACCCATACAGAGAGGACCACACCCCCCCCCCCTCCTTCCTCACCTTCCCTCCCCTTCTACGTTAGTCGCACTTCCCTGCCTTCCCAGCCTACCTGAACTTCTCTCACTTCTCCGTCGTCTTCCTCCCCACTTCCTGAAGACTTCTGCATCAGTCACCGTCATTCACCCAGTTCTTTGATGCTGGCTTCCGAGTGTCTCTATACCTGCTAGTACACCGCAATTTTACTCAGTGGCCACCGAGAGCCGGCGTTCGGGAAGGTGCACTAGTGATTGTATCCCTCAAACGCGCGATCTCGCTCCCAGTCTTTTTTTGCTCGCCCACATATTTCTCCGGGCTCTGCAGCAGGATTTTTTTGTTTCTGTCCAACAGGAACGGAGGAAGCTGGCAGTATTATTCATCTACCTCCCCCCCCTCCCTCCCACCCTTCTTGTCCAACTTCCGCCGTTGCCCCCCCCCCTTTAAATTATCAACCAACGCCCGCAGAATCAGGTGGGTATCCGAATGTCAGACCCTCCAACACCACCAATGTCTTCTAACGTTCCTATTTAGCACTCCGCCCGCGCTTTCAATCTCGTCTTCCACATACACACTCGACTCGATTATTGCCATTCGGGACTACACTTCTTCAACTTACTATCCGGTCTCAGCAAAGTGTTCTCTCTCTTTCTGATCAGACCATCACCTTCCTTCATAAATATTCTCTCTTTGTCTGTCTTTACGTCCTTTACAAAGTGGATTATTTGAGCAGCAAACAGTCGGTTTCGTAGGGATCGAGGACCGATCTTGTACCTCTTACACTCACTCACCTATATCCCTCCAACACAACTCACATTCACAGTATGGGTAGTCGGAGATCAAGACGTCCTCCTTCATTGAACCTTTCCCTATCGTCTCGCGAAACATCTCCCACAAACAGAACTACACCTTCCCCCGATCCGGATACGGACGACGAACGCATGTCAAACGGGTATAATAACAACCGGCCGCTGAGTGTAGCGTACCCTACGGGCCCGTACTGTGTAAAACGACCGTCATTGTCGGAAGTATTATCAAACACCGCAGGAGCACCGTTCACCCTTACCGCTTTTATGGCCTTTCTCTCTCAGAACCATTGCCTTGAGACCTTGGAGTTTACAATGGATGCCACTCGATACCGAAAGTACTTCAATGCTTGTGTTGCAAGCGAGGACAACAAGTCTGCTGCTGCTGCGGAGAAGGGACCTGAATATGTACGGATGTTGTGGCGGAAGATACTGGATGCCTACATTGTGCCCAATGGTCCTCGCGAGGTTAACTTGCCTTGCACCGTACGGAACCACATTCTTAACCTGCCATCTTCTCGGACACCGCCACCACCGGAATCGCTTGATTCAGCTGTAAATATCGTCTATGAGCTGATGCAGGAAAGCGTCCTAATGCCCTTCATTAGCGACTGCCAGCAACAGGCCGCGTGTGCGGGACATTACCCATGGGGAGAGGCCGCACAGTCAGATGAGAATTTGTGCATGCGTGGGAGTCTTGATGAGCGGTTTTTGAGGAGGAGGAATAAGAGGGATTCTTCGCCTCCACCACTATTGGATTTTGTGTCGAATTCCTACTCGAGCGGGTCCACTCGCCAACAAAGAGTGGCTTCTCCTTTCAGTGCGAGTTTGGGATGGCACAGGAATTCAGCTGGGATGGGTCCTGGTTCTTGGGGTTCGGGTAGTGGTGATAGTTTAATGATGATGGTGGAGGATTCTGGCACCTCATCACCGGGGTCATTTGCAAATCCTATGACGCCGCCTACCACTCCACCGACCTGTGAATCCATGCTCTCCACCTCGACCACCAGCTCTCCAAAGCACAAGGCAACTGTAGACAAGGCAGCCAAGGGTTGGAAGAATATGACAGACCTTAGGAATTTGGGAAAGCAGCTTGGCTGGAGCAAGAAGAAGGGCCCTCAAATCTGGAGCGAGAACGGCAGTTTCTAATTATTTTTCTTCGACCTACGGATTCCTCTACCAGTTCATTTTATTAATCCGATATTTTTATGCTGCCACGAAGTCGACGAATCTTATACTTGTTATATCTTCCAATCATTGGGTTGATATGCGGTTTTTTATCTACGACACACCATTTAGACACGAATCACGTCCTTACATAACCCTCTATGATACGCTAATTCGCATCGTTATCCTCTACCACTACTAACTTAGTCGGGGATAAACGGGCATCATCATCATCATCGACCCTCTTCACCTGTACTTTTACAAAAAAGCGGACGGTTTCATTCTTCAAAAACCTTGCATTATCTATTACGGGGATTTTTCTTTTCTTTTTTTACATTGTGTTTTTTCTGTTTTTGCATTGTACCTACGGCGCATTTGGGCGTACTTTTTTTTTGGAGCAATGGTGGACGAAAGGGATAAAAAGAGTCTGGGAGTTTCATATTTCAACATTTTCCTTACGGTTGAAGGGTTCATCAAATGAGGGGAGGAATGAGGAGCATATTGCTGCTCTTGTTGAGTATCGCAATTATTATTTTTTGCCTCCTTGGGACGAAAAAAAAAAGAGTAAAGGATGGATCATATTTTTTTGGGGTTTTTCTTTTCTTTACAAATCTCCCAGACTTTTTTTTATTTCCTTTCTCTTGGGAAATGGGTCTTATTTGTAACAGAACCCTTATTTTCCATCTGTATTATGGATTTTTTCTTCTTCCCCTTCTTGTCATTATTATTACCCCTCATATCGTAGGGCGGCTACCTTTTTTTCTCTGGTTGTCTTATTTCTTTCATCGAAACTTTATCGCATTGGTGCGGGATAGGATAGGACAGGATAGGGTGAAGGGGGGTGGGGAGTCCAGCGATGTGGTTTTGGGTAGGAATGAAGAAAGAAGTCTTGCCAAAATATTCACACAATTTGGTAGCAACCAGTTTGGTGGTTCCAAGATGAATAGGTTTACTCGAAATCCGCACTGCATTTTTTTATGGGGAGTAAAATTGCTCAGGTAATATGTGATAGAATCATCGTGAACTTTTGGAAGATGCACTTTTTCTTCTTTCGTCCCCCTCCAACAATTTTTCTGGGGGATCGAAGGATGAATGAATAATCTGAAAAGAAGAAAAGAAAAGAGGGAAGCCCCATTGCGCATACCGAACTGTGCACTTGGCGATGCCGTGCTACAAGCACTGGTTGATAAGCTGATGCCTATGATACACCACAGCACTTTTCCTCTCCTTCCACTCTATCGTTTTTAACCAGAAGCTGGATGTGATGTGCACCACCACAAAGTAAGTACCTTACCGCAACTCACTCACTCGTTTTAGCAGACACCACAGCGATAAAAAACCAGGAGCTATTTGCGGGACCTTCCCACCACCACCACCACCACCACTGCCCTAGGCAGGAATGTGGGACTTTTCTCTCTCTTTCTCTTTTTTTTTTTTTTTGCAAAAACCAAAAGTGCAAGGAATAGTTGATTCCTCGTCCTTAA